ACCCCCCACCCCCACAAAATCCAAAAGCTAAAAAAGCCAGAGCAATAAAAAGGGCCAACTCTGTAAAGTTGCTTAAAGTCCTTTAGAAGGACATTGAGGGGAATGTTTTACTCTCTTCATAGCTTTGAAACTAAGCGCGTCCACTCTTTCTCACTTTCTCATGTAAGGAACCCTTACATGTTTGTAATGTTCACTAGTGTCTTGTTCGCAGAAGGGTGCCAGAAATGCTGTTAATAAGAAAAAGGATGCTTAGGTTCTGAGAATCATCTGTTTTTACTGAATATTTCTCAAATTCGAGCAGGTCGGTGAGAGAAATGTACTGCCCTCTGTTGGAGAGAGTTAGTAAAATCAGCCCGGAGCCAGAGTTAACCTCCCAGAAAAGCCCTTCGAAGGAGTTTTCGCTAGGTTAACACAGGTGTTCCTTATGAATGTCGGCCAAGAAAACAGAAGTAAAAACTTTAAGAGATACCCACATAAATGATTTGTATTTCTACGACCTATTCAGCTGTCAGTTTTCAGTTTTCACAAAGAGAAAAACTTCAAAGACTCCGAGAGTACTCCGAGTGTGTTAATAAATAGTTGCAATTGTAGAACTTGGAATAGAACTATTTTATTCCTAAGTTTAAGCAACACAGAAATAACTAACTCACCCGATCCCACTATACCACCGTATCCTGTGATGATAATTTTACTTTGCCAGGTTTTAGAAAATCTATCAAATTGCCACTATTGCTTTCAAAAATGTGGCCACTTATTCAACTTAAATCCTCCTTCACAAATGTTCATGGCTATTGTCGTCTGCCAGTCAGGTCACCTGTGTAACAAAAAGGCAAGTCAACCTGCGCTTTGTCTCTTCAGGAGAAACAATTGCCTCAGGGAGAATTCGTGAGGACCTTGACTCAAGGGAAGAAAGAAGCTATTTTTGTTTGTTCACAGACAGCCAGAGCTGCTCTAAAGAAAAAAGATTTAGATATGCCATACACTTTCTTCCTCTCAAAATTAAAGCACCATTCCCCCAAACACCTGTAACCATTTTGGACTTGCTTTAAAACTATTTTGAGAGGCATGAAATTAAAGAGTGTGTGAGGGGAAGGAAGAAGTAGAGAACATTTCAGTATGTGAAGGTTCTTGACATTTTATACAAGAGAAAAAGGAGCCCCAATAAAGGGTCATTCATTACTTTGATTCAGTTCATTCTATTTCCAGGAATGTATGCACAGAAATACTTGTAGAAATGTCCAAACTTGACTACCATGAACTATTACTTGTAAGATAGCAAAATAGAGGAGCAAGAGCTGCTGGAATACTTGATGCTACAGAGTGGAATACTATGCAGCCATCCAAACAAGGAAGCCCCCTTCCCCCCATGGGTTAATGTGGAAAAAGCAGCACAACAGGGTAAACCAGTGAGTAAACAATACAGGGTACAGGGCAGAAGTAATGTTTGTTTTCCATTTCTGAAATAAAGTTACACTTTATGACAGTTTATTGATTCAGAATAAGTCCAGGAGAATATATATCATCCATTAACAATTGAAATCTTTGGAAGCTGGATTTTGAAGTAAATTTTAATTCTAAAATTTACTCAAACCTTATTTTTGAAGGATAGAAGGGAAAGAATGGAAAAATCCTATTTTTACCTTTAGCATAGAGGACTTTTGTTTTAGAAAATACAGTACACATGTGTTTAAGCAAATCTGTATTTCTTTCAACAGAAGTACTAACAGAAGCTACATGCTTATGTATAATAAGAATTTATTTAATAAAGTACTCTAAAGATGGGATTAAACTGATCAAGTAACTCACAAAAAAACATTAAATGAAAAAATACATCACCATTACCTCATTAAAAGATAAAGCAAAAATTTTTTTTTAAGCAGAAATTTTCTAACAAAAATAGATTTTGTTTTGAAAAAACAATGTGAACGCTCAGTGTCTGGTGTGTTACAATATTTCAGTTAACGTTTGTTGAGTGATGGAGCAACATAGTGGATAAATACTTTCCAAATGCACTCTGTTCTATTTGCCACCTGTTTTTTAAATTATATCTGTTGGTAAGTATGTTCCTTTGAATAATAGCTCTAATAGATTATCTGAGTACAGAATCCATTTATGTGGCTTATACACCATCAGAAACGAAAATACAAAGGCAGCAGGGGGTGGGGAGAGAAGGACATAAAAAAACAAGGTATTAACATGAGGGAAAAGGGATTTTCACAAACAACCTAAGTGCTACATCTCTTGGATGAAATGCACCCTGGACTTTTTCCAGCTGAATTCTGCAACAAAACCAAAGGAAAATGAACATTAATCTTTTATGAACTAAGCCCCCAAACGAACAGGCTTTGAGTTCAACCCTAATTAGGTTGCATCTCAATACAGAGAATCTTTAACGAATAAGGACACATAACAACACCGTCAGGCTCTCTGCTGGGACGGACTCAGAGAAAGAAAGGGGCCACCCAGGCCACACTCAACTGTTCTTGTGCATTAGGGTCCTGGCTTGAACTGGGAAATGCACAATCATCTTAGGTGCAAAGCAAATGAAGTTTACGCTAACTGAAATTCTTGGCCACCTGGCCACTTCCAAACCATCTGGGAGTCTGTGAATAAATGAGAAGAGAAAGAGCAAGAAGCAGGTTCTCAGAGCAAGTTTCAGGAAGTCTGGAAGATTCCTTGGAAGATTCCTTTGTGCCCAGCAGAGCGGCAAACATTGACTGTGTTCAGCAACAACCCAACAGATGCAAGATGTGAGAAGCAGGGAGTGTTGCAGGCAGGGTACAAGAGACATGAGTTCAAATCCCAACCTGGCCACTTTTCAAGAGTGTGACCTAGGACAAATTACTTAACCTCTCTGAGCCATCATTTTCTCATCTAGAAAATGAGTGTAGAATTACAGCATAGTTGGGAGAATGAAATGCAATAACTTTAGTTCACTGATTGCTAACTGACGAAACAGACCTTATCTCTCCATCTACCACCTCTCTCACCCCATTCTATCACACAGCTTCCACACAACTTCTCTTGGAATTTTTCCAGCTGAATTCTGCAACACAGCGCAGGAAAATGAATGTTAATCTTTTATGAACTAAGCCCCTCAACAGTCTTTGAACTAGAGCCTAATTAGTTTGCATCTCAAAACAGAGAATTCACAGTTTCCACATTTTCTTCCTAGCTCCTAACAAATTTGCAGACATTTTCATGATCACCTTTTACAGCTGAAGAACTGAAACTCAGAGGGGTGAAGTTATTTGTCCAAAGTAACAGAGCAAGGGAGCAGCAAGGCTACTTCACCCCAAGTTTTTCTAACCCAAACCATGTGCTAGCCACAAAAATGTGGCCAATGTCAAGAACAGAAAGAATGAATGATGTTTGACATTTGAAAGTTAGGGAACTCTGGGCCTAAGACCTGTATACATCTTCCAGGGTCTCCAGAGGAAGTTCCTGGATAGACTCTGACTGGACAGCTTTGGTGGTGAGGGTGGGGGACTCCCTTTCCCTGGTGGCTGAGATGCTGTATCCAGGGCAGGAGAGGTACTCGCGTTGGCTGCCTGGTGCTGCCACACTTGTGGGTATCTTTTGGCCTTGACAGAACCCCGCATCACTGCATTGTATTCCACTGGCTCTGTCTTCATCCATGGTATTCTCCCAACCCACCAGTTCTCTTCCTCATGTTCTCACACGGGAGTGGCCCTTTATTCCATGACACAGTTATTCCAGTATCTTCTGTCTTCCTGTGAACTGCCCCCCACCCTTCCCACCATCCACTAGTTATACTGCATTGGACACAGACTTCCTCACAGATTCTCCAGTGCCATTTATTAGCTTATCAGAAGTCTCTTCGCCAAATCCTGCTGCCCATTCTTGTCCAGTAGCTCCCAGCTGCCCAACAATGCCTTATCCTATTACCATAATTAACTGGTACCATGCTAGAAAGCTGAGCCAGAGTCAGAACTCCTGGGTGAAGATGATTTGCCAAGGGTTACAATGCATGAGAATTGGTGTGGATAGAACTTGGCACCTGAAACTTTTTCCCTCACATAGAATTTTATTCTAGAAACTCATTAACTCTAAGTAGTGTAGTCACATTTCCAGAAGAAGCTGATGTTCGGGAATCTATTTGGGGTTTGTAATCCAGCTCTTTTCCATTGCAGCTCCCTCCTCCTCTCACTATTGTCAAAATTTGTCACGTTATTTTATTCTTTGATATGAAATTATTTATTGTACATTTGCATTGTATTTATATTAGTCAAACTTTATTATGCATCCGCTAATTGTGTAACCCCATGCAAATATTTTATACATATTTCATCTGACCCTCACAAACAACTCTGATAGAAGCATGGTGGTTATCTCTATCTTACATGGATTAACACTTGAGAACCTCTGGTGATTAAAATAGAAGGGGAGACACAACATGCAGACAGGAGAATCAAAGTGAGAAGGTGACAACTGAGCTGGTTGGAGGAGGAAATAGAGGGGCTAATGTTTCCATGCAGAGGGAACAGCATGAGAGATGGCTCAGAGGTGGATAAGTATATAGAACAGTGAGCACCACAGTGCCTGGCATATAGGAAGTCCCCGAGATGCTGTTGAATTTAATTCTGTTAAATTATTAGTGTGGTCACAGCACGTGGGTCTCCTATAACCAACTGAAGTCTAGAATCACTTACCTGAAAAGAAAGGGGGGACATGAGCTCTGCCATGTGTGCCAGCTCCTTATCTAACTTTGCAAACACTCTGTTGAGTAGCTTCTCCACTTTACAGAGGAAAAAACAGCATCTCAGAGAGGCATCTCATTTAAGA